TCATCTGTCCTGTCTGCTCAAGTTTTGTCATGCTTGGATTTTTTGGGGTACCACAATGCTAGGTGAATTCTTATGTGAGCACATAACAAATACTTAGACTAAAATTCATGCAAAACATGTTTACTCATGATGTTAATATAAAATTACTATAAAATCAGCTACCTAGTAATTCCTACCTGCTTAGACCTTCACTTTTTTAGGCTTTCTTCATGTTTTCCATTCCAGTGGACATTGATGGCAATATCACCTCTAATGTTGAAAATACTAGGAAACAGACCACATTTTTCTTCTTGCTGTGGTGAATTTGATTTATAGTTGCTTATATTTAGGAAATCTTGAAAGCAAACTGAAGTATACAAGGAAAAATTACAGTTTTATCATTATGGCAATAAGGATCATGTAACACTTTTTAAAGAGAGACCAACAGATTTCCTAGAATATTTTGTTAATCTACCCTTAAAGTTTAGAAAGAATTTGAAAATCAATAGATTTTGCAAACTGTTTATATATTCAATATTAAGTAGTAATGCCTAAGTCCTAAACTAGCTTTTTAGTGAGTGTTCTCATTGTCTTTTTGTTTAACTGTTCTTTGGAGAGCTGGCTCTGTATATATGAATGCAAACCAAACATTCTTGAAATTTACTTTCTAAATAGCAGTGTTTTGACATTAGTTTGAAATGAGAGCAACCTTTTGAACAGAGAGCATATGCTTTGTGTTTTAGGTTCTGAATCTGATTACACCATTAATCTGTTTTTCAGAAATGCATGGAGCACATTTTTTAATTTAAGACTTAAAAGAAAATTAAAAGAGATATTATAAAAACGTAACAGAGACAGTTGTAATTACTTCAGGCTACAAAAGAAGGTCTAGTTCTGCATCTACAGTCTTGACTTGAGAAATGTAACTGTGTTAAATTTTGATGCACAGGAGAAATATTGGAAAATTAAATGGTCTCACTGGCAGAATTTTCCTGTCCTAAATTTGATCATTGCTTTCTTCTGACAACCAAACAAAATTATAAATTTCCTTCCAGCTAGAAAATGTCCATCCTTAGGAGAACCAGACATAGCAGCGATTACTGTCCTACCTGGAATAATGATAAAAACATAGTTCTAGTCCTGGTTTGATTGACAAACTTTTGTGAAGTTGCAATTTATTATGATATTACCTAAGCCAGGAGATCACTGGTTAGTTAGATCAAATGGTTGCTATTACTTTTGTCTATAAAAGTTGCCTTGTGCACTGAACAAGCCATGCTATTTCACTTTGAAAACTGGAAAGATCAATATAAAAAATTAACATTTGTTTATCCAGTTTGTCACTAATCTCTAAATGTGACTCACCATATAAAAATTACAGAAAAATAAGCATTCATATTGCTACAGGGATTTTTTTCCCACTTCTTTGGCATTGTAGACCAACACAAGCAGTGGAATTATTTTTTTTCCTGGTTTTCTGCATGGCACATAGAATTGTTTATTAATGTCTAATCAACACAAAAACATTTTGCTATTTTAACTTTGTCTCTTTTGTTTTACAAAAAGTCTTGCTCCTGGCACAGAAATATGTGGACTTTCAAAAGCCCCAGTTTAGCTAGAGCAGTGCTGGCAGACTAACCCATTTGACATCTTGTTTCATTCTCAGACCTCTTTGACTATTGGAATTTTTCTCTACCCATTAAGAGTTTACTGGAAAAACATATCATGAGTGTACAGAAGTCCTGAATTCCAGTTAAAACTTTATAACTGAAGGTCTGAATTTATTTTTTGAAACTCATAATATAGGACCAGGAAAAAAAGAAGAGTCCTAGTGCAATTTTAAAACACAGAATAATTTTTCAGGATACGTATTTTATAAGCTCAAGCATTTTAAGAGTTCAGTTTAAAAGGATGGAATTCAATTAAACACCTACCAACTTGGTGTTCAAATGAATTTTAGCCAGCATTGTCTTAAATTGTAACTTAAACAAAACACAACTACCTGGAGAAATTTTTCTTTATTTTACATTACATATTAGTGTCAATTAACACATAATGGAGCCACTGTTAGAAATAGATGGGGAAATTGTTCACACTATATATTTTTGTGTGTCTAAATTTTGGATCTAAACTTAGCTTGGAGCCTGAATTCATTCAGGCTGGAGCCAAACTTAGGTATTCTGAGCTGTGTGTCCCTCTTCCAAGAGGCACCTACTTTCAGTCTCTGCAGCAGGATGAAGTACGTGGTATGAGTAATACCTTGCTGTTTCTAAGAGTGCTTTTTTCTCATATTAACTAGTCACAAATGGCTTCCTGGCAAATCGCACTCACCGACTCATCCACTGGTGTGGCTTTGATCTCCTCTAGGACAGGCTCCATGTAACATACCCACACTTAAATCCTGGCTGTGGAAGCTTCTGTATGGTTCTTCTATACCATCTGTGTCTGGTGATCTGCAGTATGGATGTAATGCTATCAGTGTATTGAACATTCTGCGGTCTTTATTCTCTGATTAACTATTCTGGTATACTGAAAGGTGGTGGGGGAAAAGGAAGAAAAAAGATACCCCAGTGATATTCTGCTAAAGTCATTCTCCCTTCAGCTTTGAATAGGGTTTTTTTTAATTTTGGGATATGTTCACTGTTACCCAAATGGCAACCACATGTAACAATATTAGTGTTCAACCTGATTAATTTCTGTACTTTTAATCTTTTACTTTGAGCACTGTAGTTCACAGAACTATTTAATGTTGTTGTTCTGTGATGTATATGCTGACATTCCAGTAATCAGTTGTCCACAGGAATTGTTGCAAATAACAGTTCACTAGGCTAATACCTTATGTAGTAATACTTTTAGAGGAGCTCATATAGTCTAATTCATCAGACAATTATTCTGCATCTCTTAAGATTTTTAGTCATTTAAGTAGTAAGTATTACAAAGTTAGGTTTAGTCTTAATACACATGATTCATAAACATTCAAAGGTGAATACATGGACGTTTTGGCTTACAAACGTAAAATGTCAGCAAAAAAATTAAATAATATAACTTCAGCAAAAGAGACTGTGGCATAATTAATGAAATAATATTCAGCCCTCATTTAAAGAAAGCAGTAAAATGGCAAGGCTGCTTTGAGCAGATTCAATTCACCAAGGAAAAAAAAATGTATTCCTGTAACTGTTTTGGTGACAATTAAAAGGTCTATGTCCTGATCAAAATCAAATTTAGAAAATAGCTCTAAACTCTCCATACACAGTAAGTGTAGTCTCTGTAGGTAACATCTGTTTATGCTGCCTTTGCAGCACATTTCAAAGTTGACTGCTGTTGTTGCATTCATTAATAGTTTAGTAGAAATACACTGCTAAAAAGGAGAGGGTGGTTTGAGGTAGAAGGAAGTAACATCTGAACTTGGCTAGCAGCCTGCTAAAGTATGACTCTGTGCCTGCTCTTGATCACCTGTCTGTCTCTTTCTACCCTTTCTGTAATGTTAAATGGAATTACCAATGACTTGAATTCAAGCAACCCTTGAAGCATGAATGAGTAATGTGGGGGTTTTATTGCATACATTTTCTCCAGTAAGAGAAGATTTTTTTTCATTTTAAAAGAAAAATGTCTTGGACTTAGCAATGAGAATTTAAGGAGAATCTAAACTTAAGAAGTTACTGAGAGAAAATGTGGACTAATGTTGAATCGTACTTGACTGCCTCACAGCTGCATTTTCAAGACCCCTCTGTAAGCTGGCCTTGAACATCTGTTCCCTTGACTTCAAACTGGGAATCTTACCAACAGCTTGGCTAAAATGTTTCCAGTTCCTTAACCTTCAAGGTTTAGTTTTCTGGGGGAAAAAAACCAAAACCTCTATATTTGAATATATTTTAAATCTAGTGGAAACTACATGTGGAAGGCCATTGACAGTTTTTTTCCAATAGGGACTAGTATTTTAAAAAGCTGCTTACTGAGGGGAATGGGGGACTGTTTAGCTTAAATTCCAGTTATTAAAACTCATTGAAGGAACAAGAACATCCCTAGTGACATTCGAAGACTACAAAGAGGGAAAAAAAATAGACCTAGCAGTCAGTAAATCTAAGAAATTTAACAAAAATCACCAGAATCTTCATAATTGTGATTTGCATTCACCCTTGTCAATAGTAGCTACTGGCAGTTTCATATGCTGATTTTTACATGAGCATTACAAGCTGCTAAGCTACTTGTCTGATATCAAAAGCTTCAGTGCTTCGGGTCCAGAAGGCCCATTTGAGCGTGCAGTTGCAACAATGAAACACACAAACAATTCTCTGCGCAGAGAACTGAGAGGATTGAGGTATATTTTGGACAAAGTGGGCAGAAAGGGGCAGCTGATTTACAGCAGGATCACTTCCCCAGTTCATTTTGCTGCACAACCTGCAAAAAATTGTGCTAGCAAAAAAAACAAGTGTCTCAAGAGGGTTTCTATGTTGTGCTTTAAATGGTCACTGGATAAAGTAAAACTGTTGTTCAGGTTTTGTTATGCACAGTAACTTAGGTAATTTCTCACTTCTGTGCTGCTGCCTTGAGTTTCTTGACTTAGAAAGTAAAAGGAGAGATCATGAAATTGGCATAAAGCCACAGCAGGTAGTTGTCCCCTTTGATGAAACTTCTAAAGATGTGGAATGACACTGTATGTTTGACTGCTTGGTCTTCGTGGTCTTTAAAAATGTTTAAACCACAATAGTGGCCGCAATGAAAAGCAAGCAGTGGTCTGAATACAGCATGACCTATACTTTCAAAAACAGAATGCAGTAAAGTGTTGTTACTGTTGTAATATGGTATATTGCCTGTGTTCTGAGATTTTCAGTCAGGGAAATAAATTTCCCTTCCATGTGCATCTGACCTGTAGAGCACCGATATCAACTGCGTAACGGAACAATTAGTTCAGTTAGGCGCTTGATACCAATTAAATCAGGCAAAGGATTTAATTAACATTGCCGCTGTCTTTCTTCTAGAAATAAGTGTGACTGTATTTTCTATTTCCTGTTCTTCTTCAGGGCGTTTGACGTGGAACTTCTTTATATAGCCCGGTGCTTGAAAATACCTATAGCAGAAGTTGCTGTCAACTGGACTGAAATAGAAGGTAAGCAAATTGTTTATATTCTTGTAAGATTCTTTACATGTCAATCCAGAATAAAGTATCCAGTGGTCTGCCCATATTTCACTCAGTTTTGATAACACACAGCCTTCTTTCCATACAAATTTTGAACTTCCTGTCCTTGCCAGCCTTCTTCCGTGGCTTGGTACAGGAAGAGTAGGTGAAGGAATAACAAGGGAGAGAAACTCTGCGCTCCCACTGGAGGCAAAAGTAGGTAGTTATACTGCTAGGACAAAACACTACTTTAACATGTCCTCTTGCTGTAATGTGTTAATAAAAATAGAGCAATTGTAAAACACTGTGCAGGAAGTCTGACCATCGTCAAATGCAGTTCCTCCATTTTTTTTTACTCTTTTTTTGTTTTTGTCTTTTCTCAATCTGAATCTCTTCCCCTCAATACAACTCCTGAACAACAGATAGTGCAATGAACTGCAGTGATGATGAAGGGTGCAAGTAGAGAACATCCTGAGACAGCTTTGCTAGAAGGGAAATGCTTCCTTTCGATGCAGTTCCACACGTGCATTACACCTATCACAAATGTTAGCAGAGATGGAAGAAGGCTTGGTTTTGTGGTGTAGGTTCCTTACTTGCCTGAAGATTGGCACATTCATATTACTGCTGTAAGATAAGGTGGTGGTCCTCTTCTCCAAAGTTGATAAAAAGATCATTTGACTAATTACTGGTGTTCAGGTTCCTATTTACTTGAATAAAGCCCTGTCATGGAGAAGACTGTGCATCTTGTCATATACATGGAATTACTGTGCTGCTTGCAAACTGGAGTCTCCCACCTGCGGCATAATGTAATTACTATAAAGCCATAACTTTCAAAATATAAATTTTTATTAATGTTAAGATCTAGGTTGTGTGACTGAGTGTGCTGAAAATGCAGAGTTTCAAGACTGCTTAGGTGTGTGTCTTGCCAGTGCTCATTTTTTTCTAATAATGTCCTGATTTTCTTCTTCATTAATCACAGGTTCTAAGTTAGTAGAAGTTTGGAGCTGGCTGCAGATGGGCAGGGATCTTCTTTTTATACGACTGCGATATATGACTGGTGCCTGGCAGCTCGAAAGAAGAAAATATAATTAGGTTGTTTACATTTTCCAAATATATTATTATATTTAATGGAACATGAGAACAGTTTCAATCAAGTGAAGTAGTGATGAAAGCTGAGGTAATTTGTCATTGCTCCTCCTCTTGTACGTTTCATTTTTGCAGCATGTGTGTGTTTTGTAAGATTGCCGGCAGGGAATTTGTACATTTTT